AGCGAAAAAGAAAAACAACAACAACAAAAAAACAGCTGAGTCTCTGAAATAGTTCAAGAAGCATGCGGCCTTTTGAGGGGTCTTTTATTTAGCTGCCCTTTGCTTTCTGCAGCATGAGTGGTCCTGATAAGTGAAGTGTGAGTGGAGCGACTGTAATTAAAGTCCTCAGAGGCCGTCGTGTTGTGGTGACGAGCTCAGTCTTTGCAACCAGACCGCTTCACTCCCATCTGGCTCCACCACCAACTCTCTGAGGCCCCTCTGCCCCCTTAACACCCCTATGCTTCAGAAGATGATCAGGGAACCTGCCTGCTGCTTTACAGGGTCCTTAGGATCACCCAATGAGGCAATGCTTGTGGAGCAACTGAAACGGTGCCTGGCTACGGAGTAAGTGTTACCACACCTGTTAAAGAAATCAAGAATAAGCGTACGTTCTAGTCCAGTTCTATAAAGTTGTGCCCTATTTTCAAGGGTCTCAGACTGAATCCTTTTCTAAAATGAGGAAACGTAAAGTTTTGAAGACATTTTGTGAAGATATTTATTTCTGATGTAATGCATTGTGAATCTGAGTTTTCGTACATTGAATCTGGGTACAGTGATAGGCATGATACAGTTTGTTGTATTTCCATTCCTAATATAAGAACAAGGAAAAATAGCTAACCTTTGTTTAGCACTCAGTAGGCTGTTTCTGAGGTGCTATTTCCTGTGGCATTGTATGTAGTCACTAATCTTAGTAATGCTCTGCATTCATTACTGTCATATTTCCCATGTTACAGTGAGGAATCTAGGCACACAGTGGATAATTGCTTGCCCGAATTCACACACCCAATCTGTCGTGCACCTTGATTATTTTTCTTGCTGCCATTCTGGTCGTGTACTCCCTGTTCTGACGGGTTCTCAGGCAGAAGCTCTACTACTTGTCGGGGGCTGGAAGGTAGGGGCTGTTACAGGAGGAGCCCGAAGTGTTTGACTGGGCATACCTTCAGGGCTTTGGCTGCTGGCGAGGTAACCTGACTTGTTAAGCAGAAAAGGAACTTCTCCATCTGCACTGCTAAGCTCACCAGTTCCAAGAGGCTGAAGAAGAGACTGAAACAGATTCAGGGAGACAAGGGTTCTGCCACTTTGGGAGGCCCCAGATCACTCAGGCCACTGGGAATGAGGTCCCAAGGCCCCTTCCCTTGCAGATTCAGAGGCTGGCAGGAGCATCTGATTGGCTGTCCACATGCCATGCGTGTGCCACACTCCTAACCTACCGCTTCTCTTCTTGGGAGTGCCCACTCTTCCCCTGGAAAAATCAGAAGAGCTTTGGAGTAACAGGCAGCCAGAATGACAAGTGCCTGCTCCTTGGGGGGCTTCACCTAGGTGCTCCCCAAGTGATCCGCCAGCCACAGGATCCTGTGATTCTACTTCTGATGAGGACTGGGGCTGTTTTCCTTTCCTGCAGCACCTGGAACACAGCTCTGTACCAATTAGCCCTCCGTGAATGTGCTTCACAGAGTTTAATGAGTCTATTAGCCTTTGGCACACAAGAAAAGAAGGGTGCACACTTATTTATAGCACCTAGCTTTTTGATTCAGAACAGACTGTTTCAGCTGCCAAGCTCCTTTTGTTGATCAGGAAAACAGTTGATATTTATCATTCCTCGTAGCAAAAGGAGGACGGAAAAGCATTAAACATTTAAATGTTTAAGTACTTAGCGTTTGAGTACTTACTAATTATATTTAAGTACTTAGTGGTGGTACTGCAGCACAGTGGTTGGATAGGGCTGTTAGAGAAATCCTCATTTTTGATCATCTCCCATCTTTCCACATACCGGCTCCGGTGCCTCATTTCAGCCACTGTAATCATTCTCATCTCCTCCTCCTCCATCATCCCTCATCCCCACGCCCAAGTCAGTTTCTAGGCGCTGTTGGCTTTTCACGGCTTAGCATCCTCCATCACACCTGTCCTGTCCCTCTCAGTCCCAGCCCATGCCTCCCAGACCTGGGTCAGGTCTCCCCCACCACCGTCTTGCCTGCTTCATCTCAGCATGCTCTGTCATTTTCCCTCCTCACTGTGCTCCTTCAAGGGATGGTGACACCTTCCTCAGCACAGCAGAGCAGCTAAGAGGGCCCTGGGTTCAGGTTCAGATTCCAGGTCTGCCACTTGGTGTCCGCACTAGTGAGGAGTATATTCAGATGTAATTAACAAACCAGCATGCAGTGGCCTAGCCAAAGCAGAGTTTATTTGGTTCCCCCTACAAGAAACCTGGTCAGAGGCTGGTGCAGCAGCTGCAGCGCTTCGTGGTGCCAGGGCCAGGCGCTTTGTCTTTCTGCTCAGTCTTCCTGGCCACCCTGCTTCCAGCTTTGAAGGGGCAGGGCTGAGGGCTAAGTTTGTCTTGGCAGAGAATGCCCCACTTTTAAAGACTCTCCTGGAGGCCTTGCCCAGCCACTCCTGCCAATGTCCCATGACATAGGATGAGGCCTGTGACACGTTGTCCGTGTTCACCTTGCTCAGGGTCTTTGGAGGCCCACCCTGTGCCATCGCCAAGCACTAGGTCCTTATTAATGCTTATGACTTTGCTTTTAGATAGAATATGTGTTTGTCAGAACAGCTTTTCACAGTAAGCCAACTAGCATATTTACTGTGACCTCTAAATACCATTTAAAATTCTATTATTCTTTTCTGTCCTCTCCCACTACCTCACTTTACCTTCACCCATTTATTGTCTTCACTGCGGCTCCTTGTCTCCAGGTCCCCGGCTCCCTGCCCTCCCTCCTGGACTGTCCCTTAATCCTGAGCATCCCATCATCCTTCTCCGCTCCTGCACTGGCCACCGAGCAGCATGGGAGAAGATGGCAACACAGTGCTGCAGGCTGCAGTGTGAGCTCACACCAGTCTCCGAGTTAGCTGGCCCTTCTGCGAGCCTTCTGTCCCCTTCAGTGGAGGGAGGCTTTTATTGTTGTTTAAACCTTTTTTGTTCTTTGGGTTGTTTTTCTTTTCTTTTTTTTAGACAGAGTTTTGCTTTGTTGCCCAGGCTGGAGTGCAGTGGTGCCATCACAGCTCACTGCAGCCTCGACCTCCTGGGCTCAAGTGATTCTCCCTCCTCAGCCTCCTGAGTAGCTGGGACTATAGGTGTGCTCTACCACACCCAGCTAATTTTTATTATTATTTTTTTTTTGTAAAGATGGGATCTCGCTATGTTGCCTCGGCTGGTCTCAAACTCCTGGCCTCAGGTGATCCTCCTGCCTCAGCCTCCCTAAGTGCTGGGATTACATGTGTGAGCCACCACGCCTAGCCTCTGTTCTTTTTATAACCTTCTGGCACTATTCTTTTCTTTTCCTCCCAGCACCCACCTCATTCCCTCTTTACAGAGAGAACTGTGGCTGGGCCTGACAGCACCTGCCATTCTCTCCTCCTTATCTGGAGGATCCTGCCTCCATAAGAGAAGGCCTCTTGGCAGGGATGCATTTGTTCTGGGGACCTGGCTCTCTCTAGTCTTCTGGGATCTAATTTATCTCCCTAGGGTCTTCATTCTGCAGGCTCGTTCTGCTCATGTTAGCCAGAGGCTCGAGTTGCCTCTATGAAAAATTAAGCACATAGATAAAAAGCCTTTCTTCACTACACATATCTTCCTTTATGCCTCATCTCCATCTTTTCTTTGCGTATCGGTCCCCATGGCCTGTGTTCTCCTTCCATGTTCCCCAGAGACACACTTACAGAGCTTTTCAACCAATCGATTCCAAGGGCTTCTTGGCCTCCATCGCCTCTGGCCCTGTTGGCCCCATCTTGGGGCCCTGTGTTGTGACACTGCTGCATGCCCTTCCACCCAGGTTCCTGCTTCGCTTTCCTTTCCAGGTCCTTTTGCTCTCCCTTCCCATGGTCTGGCCCTGCTGCCTTCTCTCAGAATACTCTTCAGGGCTGATCTGATCTCTTCCAGTAACTTCAGCTCTTTTCTCAGATGTTTGTCTTCTGTTAGATCTTTTTCTTGAGGTCCCAGAATGTCTCTGGTAAATTACCTCATGATGCCTCAAACTCAGTATCTCCCATGTCAGATTCGTTCATGACAGCTTCTGTCCGTATTCTCCCTTTCTTCTTAAAAAAAAACCTCCCCTTTCTCTCCCACTCTCAAACACACACACACACACACACACACACACACTCTCTCTCTCTGTCACAGACATACACTCTCTCTCTCTCCCTCTGTCCCCCACCCACACACACTCATGCATACATGAAGGCATTCTGTGGCATGGGTTTTCTCCCAGGTGTGCAGGCCAGAAATTTGGGCACCTCTTGTGCCTTCCCAGCCCCCGCATGCTTCCACAGGTGACCCATCTTACTGATTTGAACTTGAACACATTTCTTGATTCTGAAACCCCTGGACCACTCTATCCACTTTGTTCCTGGCCTACGTCCGTCCAGCAAGATCCTCCCTCTCACCCCACTCCCCCATGATCTTCCTCAAGCACTGACGTCATCATGTCACTCTGTGCAGGGACCAGAGGCTCCTTGCTGACTGAGAGGGAAATCCGTTTGTAGATTACTCACCATGGCAGGCAATGCACCAATACTGAGAAGATAAAGAGATTGTGGTTTTTGCCTTTGATGGTTTCTCAAAGTGGGGCTGGGCTGAGGAAGGCCCAGCTCAGTTTCTGTTCTCACTGGATGCTGTCCCTGACTCCCGGATCGCTTCACCCAGTGCCGTTTCTCGCCCTCGGGGCACTCCTGAGTTTGGCTTTGTATTTGTGAGATTGGTGTATTTGCCTCTTTCCCTGTGCCAGATACAAAGCTACTCGAAGGCAGGGATTGTCACAGCTTTGGTCAACTGTGGGTTGTCCTGGCCACCGGCCCGTGTGGGGACTCCGTAGGAGCTGTTTGGTGGAGGATTATATGTTTTAAGTATTCCAGGGAAGCAGATTTTATGGGACTTACCTTAGTGTACATAGACACAAACTCACATCTGTGCAGTTGTGGCACCAGCGACTCTCAGATATCTGCATTTGTTTTTCTTTCCCAACCAGTGCCTAGAAAGAGCCATGAAGTTTGCCTTTGAGGAGTTCCACCTGTGGTACCAGTTTGCTTTGTCCCTGATGGCTGCTGGAAAGGTGAGTCCCCTTTGTGATACGCAGTTGTTTATGCCAAGGTTAATGTCATTGAACTACGTGAAATGATAGACTTTTTAGAAGTCTTTGGAGCCACGATGGGAAACTATCCTGGTCCTTTCTCAGTGAACAATCAGATTTAATTATTTAGGGAGCCAAGATGGACCTATCACTGAGAAGAAAAATTCTGAAATATTTGTCTTTTTCTAGTCATTGTGACTTCCTTAGGTGACATGGACGTGGCTTAAACTAGAGCTCGTTGTTGACACAGACACTGCCACTCAACTGAGAGTTAAGCTGATTCCTGGAGGGGACCCTGCTGGTTATCTTGAGCAGTGTGTTATATTAGGCAGTGCATGATACCGGATGAAAATGTGGGCTGAGGGAGTCCAATGGCAGGATGGTACTTCCCTCCCAGCTGAGTGACCCCGGCAAGTCATGAGTATCTGTTTCCTCGGTAAAATGGAGTGAGGACGGCGCCCACTCCATAGACGTGCTATCAGGGGAATGAGATGCTACCAGAGGTGTTTAGAGTAGCATTCCTTGCTGGGTACACACTCAACAGAGGTGACTATTGTTGTTCTTGTTAAGTTGGACCCTTCAGTGAATGAAGCCTGAGAGAGGTTACTTGAACCAAACGAATTTAGAAATTTAGTGTTCTATGCCTTAAATTGGATATTTATCTTTTGTAATAACAAGCTTCCACCATCTTTTTGTTTTTCTTAATTTTCCAATAGTTACACAAGTAGGAAACAAAATTCAGGTGATGCCAAGGAAGCATTTCTGCTGGTTTATAACCCAGTGTGTACTCCCTGGTCTCTCAGAAGCCACAGGCTCTAGTTTTCATGGGCCCCGGGCCCCTACTTGCTTGGGCTTAAAATTGGAAAAACCCACGAGGAGGCCACCCTGACCGAAAACCCCTCTGAGAAGGTTGTAGTATTGGGTTGTGTCAAACGCTTTGAGTTTCACAGAATAATCTTCTCTTGCCAAGTCTGCCCGTGCTGTGAAGGTGCTGAAAGAGTGTATCCGCCTAAAGCCAGATGACGCCACCATTCCCCTCCTCGCTGCCAAGCTCTGCATGGGCTCCTTGCACTGGGTGAGTAGGGGCACCTCCCTCCGCACTCCTGCAGGGGACTCGGGGCCAGGACTGCCCATTTTTTTCATGTCGAGGCACAGAGAAAAAGTGAGGATAATTCATCAGCTACACGAAGACAACCCGTGTAGAGCCATGAACGCTGGGCCTGGGCCCCTGGCCTCCACACGCCTCATCCATTCCCCCCAAAAACTGGGGAGTACTCTGGGGTACTCCAGGGTTTTTTCGATGGGATTGTGCTTCAGGAATAACAATAATAAGATAGAATTATAATTCATACTCCCATACATCTTGCTTTATTCAAGCAAAGTGGGACTGAGAAGAGACATGACACTGAATTAGCGTCTCTGGCTGAACCTGGTGTTTTTGAGACAGGGTCTTGCTCTGTTACCCAGGCTGGAGTGCATGATTGTAGCTCACTGCAGTCTCGACCTTTTGGGCTCAAGTCGTCCTTTCACCTCAGCCCCTGAGTAGCTGGGACTACAGGTGTGATCCTCTGTGCCTGGCTAATTTTTGTATTTTTTTGTAGAGACGGTGTCTCTCTCTGTTGCCCAGGCTGGGGGCCTGGGAGCCTGGGATTTTCTATAGAGCAAAGAGTCACCCTAAACTTCAGCCCAAATGTAAATTCAACTGTCTTCATTTCTCTTCCTTCACATACGCGTTTCTCTTCAAATATTCTTGTTCAAATTTGAATTTGGCAATAGCCTGATTTGTAACAATTCTAGTATCTCAAAAAATACATCATTTGAGTAGAAAATAGAAAACTCAGTCTAATTGCAGAGCTGGTGGTATAGATAATTGCCACATACGATAGAGTTCTAATTTCTTTAACTTCATGTCAAGAGTAGCAATAAGAAGGGTTTGCTTAGAAAAGACCGAAGCATGTTGCAAACTCAAGTCGTTCACCCTTATTTCCTTGCTGTTTGTTTTTTTCATGTATTCTCACCTAGCAGGAGAAAAGTAAGCCTAGCAAAGAGATCGTTCCATTCTAGTTCCATTTTGCTGGGGAAAATGTAGAAAAAACATTTCAAAAGCGCAGGTTCTCACCTAAAACACACAGCTGTGAAGGCGTAGTGTGGCCATGTGGGTTCTGACAGTGTGGGGCTGTGAGCAGACAAGGGGATGGCGCAGGCGGCTCCAGGAGTGGGCAGGCGGAGGAGCGGACCAGGCGGAGGAGTGGACACAGCCTTTGCATTTGGAACATGCCAGTTCCCAGCAGTGACTACTGTCCTCCTCCCAGCTCTGGATTTATTTATTACTGTAACATATACATCCCTAAATGCCTAAAATAGACCTCTTTTTAGAAAAAATATATAGGAGTAACAAATCTTTTTTTTTTTTTCCAAGACAGAAAAAAAAGATTTTTCTGTTGCCCCGGCTGGAGTGCAGTGGCACGATCTCAGCTCACTGCAACCTCTGCCTCCCGTGTTCAAGCAATTCTCCTGCCTCAGCCTCCCAAGTAGCTGGGATTACAGGCTGGGTCACCACATCCGGCTAATTTTTGTATTCTTAGTAGAGTAGGGGTTTCACCATGTTGGCCAGGCTGGTCTCGAACTCAACCTTGTGATCCGCCCGCCTCAGCCTCCCAAAGTGCTGGGATTATAGACGTGAGCCACCACGCCTGCCCGTTTCTATATATTTTTTTCTTGCATTTTTATTATTAAAATTTCCAAAGACCACAAAAGTCAAGAGTATATGAACTCCAGTATCCTATCACCCAACTTCAGTATCATCATTTGCCATACTTGGGGGAAACAAATTTTCCTGTTTTTGCCTCTAATGAATTGTGCATGAGGTCTTATTGTGGGTGTAGTTTACAGGTGCACATTTTCTCACAGGAATCTGCTGGCACAAGGTACATGTGTTGTGGTTTGTAAAATAAGTGGATGGAGTTTTGAAATTTATAACAGCTCATGGCAAAGAGAATCCAAGCCTGAATGGATTCTTTATATCCTGGCGGGGGGAGGGGGGGACAGAAAGGCCCAAACTTAAAACATTCCAAGAACTTCATTCTTTACAAATATATTAGTTCAACTTCTGAATGCCTAACACAGCTTTATTATAGAACCAGTCAGTAAAAAATAAAGATGAAAAAGATAGATCCCCACCAAGTATGAAAGCAACTTTGGAAAAGAAGGTAAATAAGCAATAAGGAAAACTTTAAAGAGAAAAAGCAAGGCAGGAATCCTGCAAACCGTTAGACAGGCTCAAGAAAGAAAACAGGATCACCAGAGTGGGACTGGGAGATTTGGGAGTCATTTTCAGAGTGACTCATCAGAAAGCCAATTTTGGCAGCAGATGCTTATGGGAACTCATGTTAGAAATTCTGCAGGTTGTTTTTGTTTTTAACTTGTCTCATTTTTCAGTTGGAAGAGGCTGAAAAGTTTGCCAAAACTGTCGTTGACGTGGGAGAGAAAACATCAGAGTTCAAGGCCAAAGGCTACTTAGCTCTGGGGCTCACATACAGTCTGCAGGCCACTGACGGTGAGAGACGTCCCACCCCGGAGCTGCAGAGCTGCAGGGCTGGGCTGCCTGAGTCTACACTGCAGGATTCCCACAGTCCCCTTCTGTCTCAAGGGGGTGCAGAAGCTGGGGCATTCTGATGTGTCATCTGCTGGGGCCCCTGGTGCTGCTGTCCTCTGCTTGGTCTGATGGGAGAATGGGAGGGCAGGGAGGAAAGCCTTGGACCAGGGCTCTCAGGCCTCATTTTCAGGTACATTATGCTGGTGGTGCACTTGGCACCTCACTGGGCTTTGAGGGATGATTTACCCACCCAGCCTTGCACCTGTGCCTGTCCCACCGCTTGGTCTGGGCTGTCCTGTGTGAAGGGATGCTGGATCTTAGGTACAGGAATGTGGAGGAGGCAGGGTCAGACCCTTCCAGGAAGCTTCCCTTGACTGGTCAGGAAATGCCCCTTCTCCATTTGCATGTTTTAATTTGCAGATATGTACATGTGCAGTGCAACAGCTCACCAGACACCCAGGGCTCTCGGGTACAGTGATTTTGGGCATGCTTAGAGTTTTGTTAGATGGGCTTCTAGCTAAGAACAAATCGTGTATACTTAAGTTTTCAGTGATGTTTGCAGAAAGTTCAAATTAACAAACTTTTCCTGAACTGTTACTATTATTTTATCATGTTTTTGTTAAATATAATGCAAATGCAAAAGGGAAATCTCAGAAACAAGTGGATAATATAATGAATTTGAATTAGTACAAGGCAAAATATCCTGTAACCATGACCCTGCTCAGGAGCTAGCACCTTGCCAGCCACCTGGGAAGCACCCCCGTGTGCCCCTTCCAATCACAAACCCTCTTCTCTCCCTTAAGAGGAAATACTATCCTGACTGTTATAATATTTCCTTTTTTTTTTTTCATGGTTTTATTGTAATTTGTTTTACAAATTACTCCAAAATCTTTTCTCTGCCCTAAAATATCAAAGGTCCTGGGGAAGTTTTGCATATCAATTACTTTTCTTAATGGATTACTTGCTAATTTTCCATATACACGATACATTGGCAATACTCACCACATGGCTTTTAATATGGTAGACTTTGAGTGAAGAGCAAATTTAATGTCACATATTAATCTATGTAAATTCTTAGTTCAGACTCCACCCCTCATTACTCCTGCAACTTTGGGAGAGTCACTTGATCCTGTGTGGCTTCCCCTTCCATTCATAGGTCAGTTGGGCCCTCTCTGAGGTTCCCTCCAGCAGTAGCACTGCTGTTGTAAGCTAGCCATGGTCTCTAGGCACACTGACCCCCTGGCAGCCTTTCACTGCTCTCAGTCTCATGCCAGGCTGGGAGGTGCCATGTTAGAGGCGTTAGGTAATGGCCTTCTGCAGTTCTAGCCATAAACAGCTTCCTCTAGGACTTTTTCTCTTGCCCTAGTGAAAAGTACCTTTTTGTTCCTAGCCAGGTTTAAGGGGCCATTTCTCAGGTGCTCTGCACAGGGAAAGTGTTGACTCACAGCCATCGCGGCCTCATGCTTTTGAGCTAATTTTCCATCGTCAGTGTTGGCTTTGCCTACTCCATCCCTGGTGTTCACATGAAGGTGTTAAAGGTCTGGCCATTGCCCAGTGTGAACCAAGCTGGCCTTTCAAGGCATCAAGCTAGTGCCCTTGGCCCAGGACTGCAGCTTCTCAGTGCCAGAAGGAGCTCTGAAGGCCGTCAAAATCAACACTGCCGGTGCTTGGATCCCTCCCATCCCATCCTGACAGAGCTTGTCCTTCTCCGCAAGTTACATGCCTACACTTGGGAGGGCAGTCATGCTCCTCCTGGAATTCCCAACTGGTCTTTTGCAAATGGTCCCCATATGCCTGGGAGTACCGAGAGTGATCACCCAACTCATACTGCCCCCTTGGCATTGTTCCACAGTCACACCCAATGAGTGCAAGCGCCTTGGGGGTAGGACTGAGCTTCCCTTCCTGTCTTCTCCAGGGCCCTGTGCAGGACTAAGTACACAGGAACTCAGACATTGTTGCTTTTCATCCAGTTGAATGTACAAGTTTTGTGATGGGGTTTGTATTTGTCAAAAACTCCCTGATCTCCGATGCTACTGACTAATTGAACCCTTTTCTTAGCTTCTTTGCGAGGGATGCAGGAGGTCCTACAGAGAAAGGCGCTTCTTGCATTTCAGAGGTGAGTGGGAGTTCATCTTTTCACTCGGCTGTACATAATGACACCAAAGTATGATGAGTATAAAAAGAAGAGATATTTATAAAGATTATGTAAACAGTGTTTTACCCCTGAGAGTCTTTCATCTTGTGCACCAAACATACAGCATCAAAACCCTGCTGCGTCACTTGTTGCTGTGTAAATCTGCACTCTTAATCTGTTTATCCATTTGGGCACATTTTATTCATTCCTAATAAAGCGATTTCAGCTCGAAAAAGATAGATACTTTGTATGTCTATGGAGATGAGTCCTTTATTAAAGACATTTGTCATCATCTAGAGAAGAGATTATTCTTTTCTAGCTTTTTTTTTAACATGTCAAGCTGCAGGGTTTTGTATTAAGGAATGAGAAGGCCGATTTCAGGAAGTCTCTGAAATACTGAGTGAAGACAGTCAGCCCCACAAGCCCCAAACTCCCCGCCCCCACCTTGTTCCGTAACACCCTGTGCTTATCTCTGTCACTGTGCCTCTCAGGAAATTAGGAGAAGGCCTTGCAGCTATAAAATGCTTGAGCATCACAGTGTGCCTTCACATGCCTAACTTAATGTGTTCCTCATCTCAGACCATTGAGGAAGACGGACAAGCAGTATGTCCCTTGCAGGTCAGGGACTGAGACACAGGAGTTTCTAGGAGCTGCCATTCCACAGCTATTGAAGTCAGTGTGCAGTCAGGGTCTCCTAACTCTAATCCCGACTCTCCTGCCCTCCCATACTACACGTCCTCGTTTTATTCTTACTACGGGTATAATGAATCACGAAAATGAAATCGTTGTCTGGAAGTATAGCCCCATCATGTGAAATCAAGAACTGGTATTGATCCTGGCACCTTAAATATATCTGAGTTACACTGATTTCTTGGAATTTTATTAGAAACTTAGTCACTTACATGAACATTTCATGAGGCCTTCCCAATATCTCACAAGCTTTGTTAGACTCCTTCCTTAGAACTGGGCTTGCCTACCGATTTATCATGGTGTCCATGTGCCTTTTTCATGAAATCATGATCACTGGTTTCAGTTAGTTGGAAACTCTTCTGTCTCATTCCTCTATTTCCTAGCAGGCTTGCCGGTAGCTACATCAGGTCGCCAGCCCCAGTCTGGGTAATGACAAAAAGTACCAATTGACATCTGCAAAAGATCTGTCTCTGTGCTAAGCTTTTGTTGATGTTCTTTAGCACGGAGTGTGGAAAGCATTTCCATTTCAAATGATTTGGAGTTTTAAATTCTCCAGCCCTAGTTTGTAAAACCCACACATGGATGCTTAAGAAAGTGGTCATTACATCTGTTTCACTTTTCTTAAATCAGCACATCTTACTGGCTCTCTAAAAACAGCCACAGTGGTGGTCTGCCTTAAGCTGCCAGTATAACTTCATGTTATGTAACAGCTGCTCCATTGGCCTGAATTCTTTTTTGTTCGTCTTTTGCTTAAGTTTAAATTCAAAGAGATTTTTTAAACATTAGTTCATATGGGAATAAAGAGTAATAAAATCCCACTAACCTAACTGGTTATATTGCAGAAGGCTAACCTAAATTAGAATTTGTGTGAAATATGGAATGGTTTTCAAATGAATGTTTTTCATATTGTTTCAAGTACACATTAACTAGGATTGTTCTAGCGAACTGTAATCCTAACAAAAATCTTTAAGGGAAAGATTTTAAGAAAATGAAAATGATTTGTATTTCTTCTTAAATGTAAATGAATAATTTAAAACTACTTTGATGAGAAGTACTTTCTCTACTATGTATTTTAAATATCCTCCCACAGTTCTGTTTATACTAATGTTTTGCATTTTTTGTTTAAAAAGAAAACACAATTCCAAAAGTGATGGGGTTGCAGATGTAGCACATGAAAGTTAACTCTTAATTATGACTGGAACCAGAATTTAGAAATATTCATTCTCTAGTGGATCCAAAGTTTGAAGACATCCAAGTTGGGTGGCTGCATCTGAATGTGAGACTGTCAGCTGTTCCTACACTCATAAGCTCAACCCAAGCAGCTGAACCAACTCATTTGCCCTGTACAAAAGTATAGTGAAGAAGAATATAATATTGTTTGCAAAGCTGCTGAAGGTGCTTAATTGACCTGAGCTGCTTCTTCTACAGGCTCTCACATCCTACTGAGAAATGCAATCCTGAAAACAGTTGAGGGCACCTTTCCTTGTGTGGCCCACAGTATGCCTAAAGCCTGGTGTTCCAGGAGGCAGAGGTAGCATGGTGGCATTTGTGTATATCACTCACTGTGGTTATAGGGTACACAGTCTTGCTTTGTTTTCCCCTTTCTCTCCTAGCTTAAGTGTGGTATGATTTGTGCATATAGGGTGACTGGCCATCCCAATCTCTTAAGGACTAAGTGGCTTCCCAGAACATGGGACTTTCAATGCTAAAATCAAGAACATCCTGGACAAACCAGGACAAGTTGGTCACCCTGTGTGTGTAACTAGCAAGAGGTTCCAGAGCAATAGATTTAACCAGGGTTTGCACTTTTTTAAAAAAACTTAATGCATGGATCCCATGGCCCCTGTAATCAGGACTGAAGGGGACTTCAAAGAGAATTGGCTAAACAAGGCAGTAAGGTGATAGTGTACAAAGAACAGGCTTTGGAATCACATGCTTTCCATTCCACTTCTGGCTTTCTCTCATTTGCTGGCTGTTCTTGGACAAGAAGCTTAATAGTTGATAACTTCACAAATTGTACTTATTATTGTTACAAGATATATGCCTTATGGACCAGGGTCAACACTGGTCAGTCTTCTTTATATTCTTGTTTCAACTCTAGAGAATGTTGGAAATGGAATCTAGGGGAGCACTGGTGTAGATGCCACCACATCCTTGAGTTTTAGCCAGGTGATCTGGGAAACCCATGCCATGCTTTCCAAAAGCAGCCCAGCATCCCTATCTCTGGGCACTGCTCCCACTGTACTATCATGATGATCATTTTGAGTCTCTCCCTCTGGGGTGGGGGTGGGAGCTCATCTAGGAAAGGCACTAGCATGCTTCATCTCCATGCTCCCCAGAGGTTAGCAAAGGGCCTGGCATCATGTTATAGATATTGCATAATGTGGATGGATGGGTGGATGGGTGGGTAAGTGGGTGGATGGATGGATGGATGGATGGATGGGTGGATGGGTGGACTGATGGATGGGTGAGTGGGTGGATGGTTGGATGGTGGATGGATGGATAAGTGGATGGGAGGGTGGGTCAATGGTTGGATGGTAGATGGGTGGATGGATGGACATGTAAATGGATGGGTGACTGGATGGGTGGGTGGATAGAAGGATGAGTGGGCTTCTTCATGGGAGAGAAATGGAATTATGTGGAGGTGCTTTGATAAGGGAAGCATTTTGTGAGTGTCCCTATGGTGACATTTTTAGGTCTTTTAGGTATTTCTGAGCAGTCTAGCCAGGTATTCAATATATGGGCATGGGGCTTTATGAGGCTGCTTTAGATTCATGTACAGAGTTCAGAAGGCGTAGTTTCTCTGATTGCTAAAGCCCTTTCTCTCACCCGCCTTGCTGAGGATTTCTGTCTGGCGAGTTGCCTGTGGCATACCGAAGGGACTTTTCCACAGGAAGCTTAGCTACTGAAGTTATTCTGCAGGAAGCAAGTATTTTAGCATCTACTTGAGATCAGCATAGGGTGCTTTTTCTTATTTTCTTTGGCATTTTCCTTATTTCCTTTTCTCCTTCATAGGGTAAAGTGGTCAGTTGAATTTATTAGCCAAATTGTAGAAACAAGGTTTTTAAAATGTGTATGTTTCAGTCGTGCCTCATTAGAAATTTGGCAGTTGAATACACATCATTAGCCAAGTCGGAAATCCTTCAGATGTTGCCCTAATGCACTCCAGAAATACCAAGATCTCTATCACCTCTGGTTTGTTCCTTTCACAGTGCTGTGGTTAACAGAGAAAAATCATTTGATGAGGCCAGCATGGGGTCTTTAGCCAGAACATCTTTATCCAGTCCCTCAACTTACCAGCTTTTCAGTTAGTTGGTATTGCGTAGAGGCAACCATGAGTTGATTTATTTGTGAAGAATATGAATTGGGCTGAGAAAATTATAACTCTAAGAAATTCTTTTTGAGGGTTATAATAAAGGTAAACTTTGTTACTTGTGAAAGAAGGCAAGATAAAGTAAATCTAAAAAGTTTCTTTGTAATTGTGTATTCTTTTTCCCAAATAATTATGAGAGAGAGAAACCATGATTTTTCAGTCTCACTTTTATAAACACCAAAGAAAAATATTCTTTGATATACAAATTCATGGAAAGCCAATATTTGTAAAATTATGCTGGCACATGCAAAGTGGACCTTAGAAATAAGATATTTAGTAGCTGGGTGTGGTGGCCCTTGCCTGTAATTCCAGGGTTTTGGGAGGCCAAGGTGGGAGGATCATTCGAGCCCAGAAGTTTCAGACTAGCCTGGATAACATGTTCAATCCCCGTGTCTACAAAAAATTTTATAAATCAGCTGGTCATGATGGAGCACGCCTGTGGTCTCAGCTCCTTGGGAGGCTGAGAAGGGAGGATTGCTTGGGCCCTGGGAGGTTGAGGCTGCAATGAGCAATGATCATGTCATCGCACTCCAGCCTGGGTGATAGAGCAAGACCCTGTCTTGAAAAAAAAAGAATTCAAAAAAAAAGAAAAAGAAGACATTTAAAAGGAGAACACAGGCAATATCAGCCTCAGCCTCTTCAACTAAGCTGAGAAAAGTTCTAAAGCATATCTTGAGGCCAAGTGAAGAGTCCCCTGGAATGGAAATCTAGGTACTTTGCTCCTAAGATTAATATAAAGACAGAGGTGAGCTTTGCTTCACCTTCATCCTGCATGTGAGCTACTACATTTGCATAAACAATGCCCTAAATTAGTGGACTTAGCTTATTTTCTGGATGGCAGACCCCTGGGAGACTTGTTAGCTCCCTTCCCGGCAGCACGCAATTCAATTAAAAGGCCTTATTATTGTAGAAGGCAATCTTTGGCCTGTTTGCCACCGTTGAATCCATAGTGATTTGATTTTCTTTTTTATCTTGAATTTATTGTCTGCTGGTAGAAGATCCTCCTGTAATCACAGAATGTTGACAGAACAGCACGAAGTTTTGTTTATTATCTGGGTCCCGCCTAATTAGTTTGTTCCATGGTGCCTTTGAAAGAAAGTAAAAGTTTGTTTTTCTCTTCCCAGGAGACTGTTAAACACAGAATTATATTGTACGGAGTCACATTTTGAATTGCTTATGCTAAATCCAAATGACTTGCACACAGAAGCAGAAAAGACCACATTTGCAATCAGTTAGGAGGCCAGTATGGTCCCTTCCCGTCTGATGTCAAATGCCAGTCCTTAACACTGAGCCTAGCGCCTCCCCACAGCCTTACACGTCACAGTTACCTGGATGCAATCAGTAAACGGCATGGCATTTCCTAGAAGCTTCAAAAGACTGAATGAGTGTCTTTCTCTTCCTTTTTTTCATCAAAAACCAAAAACCTCATTTTATAAGCAAAGCTGGGTCTTTGATTTTCATATGGTTTCTCTGAAATCTAGAAATTTGGGTAAAGTAGCGTGAAGGAAGCCCAAGCCAAACTTACCCAAAGCAGCCGTCGCCTTGCCAGGTGCACACATGGCTTCACCATGTCCCAGCATGACACAGGGGCCCACCTGCTGGGGAGATCCAACCTCAGGGCCTGTGGCCTCTTCACCTCCAAGCCCTCTGCAAAGCTGGTGAGGTTTGGCTGCCGTTTTAGATGCTAGACAGAACACAGAAACATGCTCCTGTTCTGTCCCTTTAGACAGTGGTAAGAGAACTGCTTTCCATGTGTTGGTGGTCACAGGAGAAGAGTTTGAAGGAAGCATTACATAGTTACATAAATGTGTGGCCTTAGTATAAGAATGCAAATGTGAAGACGACTTGTTTAATAGGGAAAGTAAAAATGGCTTCCTCTCCCATGTACTAATAGCCATAAATACTTTTTCAGGGCCCACAGCCTGTCACCCACAGATCACCAAGCAGCTTTCTACCTGGCTCTGCAGCTTGCCATCTCCAGACAGGTCAGTTTCTCTAATGTTTCCTAAACATGGTGCACTCTGTATCTTGAAACAACTCCTTCAGCTCTTCAGTTTGAAGTGGTAGGTGATCTTCCCTTATTCCCTTGAGGCTGACTGGAGTCAGAAACCCTTCTCAGAGGTTTCAGCAAAGAGCCTGGTATTTTGGTTGGTTTGAGCATCAGCTGTGAAGACACAGGAGTTCCAGGCTCTGCTTTTGGACATTAAATCCACACAGCTGGGGTCAGATGGTAACCTGGGGAGCAGCACATGGCATATATCCTGAACCCGGGAGTCATCAAAAAGCCTTTGTCCCTTGCCAACAGGAACCAGGTAGCAGAACCCAGTGCTGAGCTGCATGGTGGGGATTTAGCCACTGGTTGGGGTCTGTTTGTCATAGGAGTATCAGTGATTGACAGGAAGATGCCAGCAGGCAGAGACAAAAGATACCAACCAGGTCCTTTATAATACATGGAAGACGTGAACAGTTACACATTGTGGCTACTCAAGAAAGGAGACTTAACAGTATCTCCTAATGGGAGGGACAAGTTTTGCTGGCCTTCATCTTCCCAAAGGCAGCTTTTAGATGCTGCCTCTGCCATTCCCAAAACCCTCCTGTCCACTCCCAGCTGTTCTGGGGACGTTGGCCACATGCCTGCCCACCCACCAGGTGCAAGACACTGGTGGTAACCCCAGCACATTCCCGAGTGCTGACTGGGAGGGTGAATCAAAGGTCAGCTCTCCAGACATGCCATTCTCCTGGCAGGCCTGGGCTGAGGTATGCAACTGTCTTCCTGGTTGCTTGGGAGTGGCATTGAGAAGTGGCTTCCATTGGCAACCTAGGGACTGAGGAAACCAAAATGCCTCCCCTGTAAAGGTCCAGTCACCTGACTGTGGCTTACAGCTGGACTTCTGCAGCAGGTGTGGGCATTGACTGGCCATCTGATCTCTCCCCTACACCGACAGCTTCTCTCACCTCCTCCATGAAGCCTTCTTCCTGTAGCAGCCTACACTTTCTTCTTTTTCCCAGCTCTCTTGTTCAGTTTCTGTCTTTCTCACTGGACTGTAGGTTCCAGGAGCCCACGTCCACCAATGTCATTGCTTTACCCTGGCACTTGGACTACCACCTGACATGTGACTCGGTAATACTCAGTAAATGAAGGAACCAGCTTTGAATTCCTTCAAGGCAGCTCTCCCTTAAAGACATCATTCTGATCCCTGTATCAGTTGGTTCCTGGTTGCTCTGGTCATCCCTGCAAATCAGTATCGTGCTATGCTGTGCCTTTCGACCCAGCCATCAATACCAGGGGAGTGCTGTTCGCATAGTAGGTTGTCACCTGGGGAAGGATAAGTAGCTGAAGCCTTATGGGTATGGCAGCAGCCTTTGTGGGCATGTAGTGTCAGAATAGCAGAGTTCCGAGGGAGTGTTTCTCTGCTTTCCCAGGGGAGGGGATTTGAACAGGAGGAGAGGATGGACAGGAATCACTCTCTTGTCAGGCACTCAATGGCTGGGTGACCTTGCTCAAGCCATTTCATCTCCCAGGACTTCAGCTTCCTCCTGGTAACTGAAGGATTGGGGTGGACGGTCTTCCTTCCAACTGTGAGAACCAGGATTCTATGGTTCCAAAGCAGAAAGCCTCCATTGCCAACAGTTATGACCTAAATCCATCAAGAAAAGAAGTTCATTGAGGAAAAGCAATTAGTTTGGGAAAGAGAAGTCATAGCTTTCTACTAAGGAGTGAGGTTACTGAGGGTTTGGGAAAAAGCTGGAGAGCTGAGAAGAGGCCCACAGAGGACTGGAGTTGGAGCAAGAGAGGAAGGAGTCCGTGGGATGGCTGTGTAAGAATGCTTCAGGACAGAGCTCTATTTTGAAATCTAGCTTCAGGTTCTAATTCTCCCTAGTTACTGCCAAACCTGTGTGGAATCCAGGGTGTTCAAATATCCATTTTGTGTGCGTTTTGTCAACCCTGTGTTGGGATGATTTTGCGGAAGTCTTGAAAAGCGGTTGCGTTTGAAGGTTCAGGTTGTGTCTGGTCCCACATGAATCTGGCCACATCTGCTTTGCATGTGGCATTGCAGTTTGTTCCTCGGATCTGCTTATTTTGGGTCGCGGTCTGGAAAGGTGCGGGCTTTTGTTTGTTGTTTGCTTTTTTGGCTTGTTTCCTTGATGTCTGCTGGAGGTCCAGGACAAAGGAAACTGAAAGAATCTCAGGCCTCTGATCACGTGGAAAGCTCTGTTAAAGGTTTAATAACATATTAAGCACTTTAATTTCAGTGATAACTTGAAAAAATGAGAACGGTTCAGCTAAGGCAGTTTAATTCCACTAAAAACCTCTGACTATTTGATTGTGTCTCCACTTAGAGTGAAATCATCTCGGGCATGATCGAAAGTAGATCAGTTTTGTGGAAAGAATGAGAAAGTGTTTACTTAGGGAGAAGTGAAAGAGTGGGTGCAGTATTGGGAACTCTGCAGAGAAACAGGGTCTCTTGAATCACTCTGCCAGTCAGAATGTCTCTTGAAGATGGCTTCTGCTTTCATGTTTGTGGTTCATATCCTGGGGCTGCCATAAAGACTTGGCTTAAAATGTGAATGAGGCGCAATGTGAAACAACTCGGTATTTAAAGAGAATCAGATGTTGAAATGATGACTTCTTTCATGTGCGTGTGTGTTTTAAAACCTTTTTTGGTTTTGTTTTAAACCAGATTCCAGAGGCTCTGGGGTACGTCCGCCAAGCTCTTCAACTTCAAGGTGACGATGCCAACTCCCTGCACCTCCTTGCCCTCTTGCTGTCAGCGCAGAAGCATTACCATGATGCTCTGAACATCATCGACATGGCCCTGAGTGAATACCCCGAAAATTTCATGTAAGTGATCCTGGGCTTCTGTTTTCCCTTACGTGAAGGTTATTAAATTTACTCCTTTCCCGCCTTATTTCCAGTTATTCTAAGTCCCTCACGGACACCCTGGCAGTCAACAATAAAAAATCCCTTTTACTGTTATTTTTTCCTGGTATTAAAAACAAACTTAGGGCCAGGCATGGTAGCTCACGCCTGTAATCCCAGCACTTTGGGAGAGAGAGGTGGGTGGATCATCTGAGGTCAGGAGTTCAAGACCAGCCTAGGAAATACAGAAAAGCCCTGTCTCTACTGAAAATACAAAAATTTGCCAGGCATGGTGGCATGTGCCTGTAATCCTAGCTACTTGGAAGGCTGAGGCAGGAGAATTGCTTGAACCTGGGAGGCGGAGATTGCAGTGAGCCAAGATCACACCACTGCCCTACACTCCAGCTTGGGCAACAGAACAAGACTCTGTCTCAAAAACGAAAACAAAAACAAAAACAAACTTAGGCTGTTAAGTCATCCTAACATAGTATTAGGTCATCCTTATTTATTTAAAATACTATATCCACTCTTTCCCAATGTGTACCATTGGAGCACCTGAGACAATTTTAGATGGACTGTGGATGAACATTTTTATTTTAGTAGTTATACATTCTTAAATGTACATTAGAATGTCATGATTTGATGAAAATTATTGCTCAGGGGGCTGGTAAGAATTTTTCAAGGCGATTTAAAGAAGAATATTAAGAATATAATACAGATATACTTAGATATGGCAAAAGTGATGTTAAACAAACTCCAATGTGTGGAATTTGGGAAACAGGGCTTTATAGCTTGCTTGTCCTGAATTACTGAGGGCTTCCACTAGCTCTTGGTGATTCTCCTGTTTTAGGCGACTTTAATCAAGATCCTTCCCTCTTTGTGCCTTCATTTTATTCGCTAGGAAATGAAAGTTCTTAAACAATCAATATCGCCCATCACCTCAGAATTGTCGCTATAAACTGTCATGTGCTAGAATTGTCTACCTGTCTTCATATCTTTCCCCTGAATCACTGAATCCATTGCCTGTTGGTTGGGCTTTGTTGAGAAGGTTTTGTCTTTTGGGCTGCTGGGTTACAATTTCATCCTCAGTGGCAGTAGCTTAGTAACCAGTACACAATGGCCAGAAATAGTAAACATTCCTGCAAGCTGGAAGGTTCTGATTGTCTACAGAGTTGCAGGGTCAGTAATGGGGCAGGGCCTCCTTGGGGTTGGAGAGAAGGGAAAGAATGTAGAAGGTGGCCCGGGGTTGCCTTCTTCACTTTCAGAAGTAAGTGCGAGCCACAAACTTTAAGTGGGTCAGCTCTGGCTTTATGTCTCTGCCTCACCACCTCACTGTGTTTTTAATCAGCGCTTTTCAGCAGCTCTCCTTGGAAAATTGGTTCACACATTTCCATTACAAACATTTCTTTGTCTTCAAGTGAAAAGGGCACTTCTCCACATCGAGGAGAAAATTCTTGTTATAATCCAGGAAACCTCTGACTAGAGATTTCTTTTGTAGGCTCAGCTATTTATGCAGAGTGAATTAAAGAGCTTCGCTGAGGCGTTTTCCTTCTTGCAGATCTCAAACTTGCTCTTTTGCACACCAGCTATATTTCTGGATTCTACCCCAAGCTGTTTATCCCATGGAACCTTACGATGGTGAAAGCACTTTAAGAAATATTCGATCCTTTAACCATTGGTAAAGTACAACCTGATGCAATTGAATTCAGTGTCTCTCATCAATATTTATAAAGCGTCATTCCCTGTCTCTCCAACACACACAAACACGCTCTTGGTTCCTTCTCCCATAGCCTAGGGTGTCATCCAAGGGGAGCCTTATTAAACTAATAGCCATACCACATGGTAAGCAGTAAACAGTGGTAGCTAATACGGCAATGCCTCCAAGTGACAGCAGCTGACAGCCTTTTCAAGTAGTAGAAGTAAGGAACAGCAGTAGAGATATTTGAGGAATGCAAGGCTGTTATTTTAATGTTAAGCCATAAGCTCAAAAAAGCAAAGCATATGGCAGCAGGTCTGAGAGCCCGTCCGTGACTTGTTTGCTTTTAAAATATTTGTATTTCTTTGTGATGGGAAACTTCTTCCCAAGAGTACTTTATTAAAAATCGGGGCCAAATATAATCAGTAGATCCCATGGTTTCTTCAAAACATTTCAGCACCAACCTAAACAAGATTAAGTGGGCACTTGTTGGATGGAACTGCCATGTAGTATTATCTGTTTGTTTGTGACAAGCTTGTCTCCAGCAGAACTATAGACTCCCTGAAGCCTGGGGGTGGAGGACACAGTTGATGGGTAGTCAGGCCTTGAGATGGAGGTGAAACCTTTTCTCCGTGAGGGTCAGCTCTGTCCACCTGTTGGGCAGTTACCAGAGGAGACAGCTGAAGCCCTTGGAGGAGCAGCGGGTCCCTCCAGCGTTACCTCCCTGTCACTGTGAAATGGTCAAACTTGCTGTTTAAGTACTTTGAGTAAGCTTAACATGGTCCAGAAAGTTCTAAGCTGAGAGGTACCATCTCGGCCACTTGTCACTCTGAGCAGGGCTGAGACAACAGTAGAATCAACAATTGACAAGATATTCCTAACTGTAGGGATCGTGAGAACCGGGAATTCTTTCTTCAGGGAACCCCCAAAATAATCTCACTACTCTGGAGAAGCAGGCGTTTTTGGAAGTGATATAGGGTAGTCCAGTATGGAAGGAAAGGAACGAGGAAGACTTTTTGGTAGTGGTTGAGAGCACAGTATTAAAATGGGACAAATCTGGTTTAGGACTCCCAATTCTTCACTTTCAAGTCATGTGACCTTGAGCAAGTCACCAAATCTGAGTCTCATTTCCTCATTTACAAAATTTACAAAATGTAAGTAATAAAATATCCATCTCAGAGGGTTGTGGTGAGAATTGATTTAGCTAGTGCATTTGAGGTGTTGTACCTGGTAATTACCTAATAATTGGTAGAAACTCATATTACTATGACTATTGCTACCAATACTACTAAAGTGTTTTCAAATATGGTATTTTAGAATCTTTTAAAATTGTTATTAAATATTAAAATCAAAAGAATATTTTTAAAATATATCTAAAATAATACAATGAACATGTTTGCTTATTCTTAGTTTAGGAAAAAGAACATTAATATCACCTGCGAATTTCCTGTGTAGATTTATGTATACATACATACTTATACATGTCTTAAACATGTATATGTATTTCCTATATATATGGATTTTCCATGTAACATTGCCTATGACTTTTCTCTGTATCCTCTCCTCTTGCCTCTCGCCTGACAGGTTAATCACTATTCTAAATTCTGTGTTAATCTCATGTTTCTATGCCATGTATGTTATACTTCTTTTGGAGACAGGGCCTCACTCTGTCACCCAGGCTGGAGTGCAGTGGTACAATCACAGCTCACTGCATTCTCAACCTCCCAGGCTCAGTGGATCCTTTCACCTCAGCAGCAGGATCTGGGAGCACAGGCACCTGCCACCATGCCCAGCTAAGTTTTGTATTTTTTGTAGAGATGGAGTTTCACCATGTTGGCCAGCCTGGGCTCAAACTCCTGAGTTCAAGCCATCCACTTGCCTTAGCCTCCCAAAGTGCTGGGATCACAGGCATGCACCACTGCACTCGGCCTGTACTCCTAAATAACAAAAATGGTGTTTTGCGTGTTTTAAACTTTTTGTAGAAAATACTGAATATGTTCTTATGCTGCTCGCGTTGCTCATTGCTTAACCTCCCATTCCCGAGGATCCTCCTTGCTGCATACAGCAGTGATTTGTTGGTTTGCATGAATGAATAGTATTTCTTGTGTAAATGCACTAAGATTTACTTATTTAGTCTACTGTGAATAGATGTGTGGATTGTTTTCAGGTTTTGTCTATTATGAACAATGCTCGTAAATGTTGTTTACAGGGCTCTGGTGCACACGTTCAAGGATTTCTCTATGAGTGAAATAGTTAGGTCATAGGATGCCGTTATCTTCAGCTTTACCGAATAATTCCGAACTGTTTTTCAAAGGGGTTGTGTTAGTTTACACTCCCATCACCAGCACCCAAAAGCCCTGTGGTTCCGTAAACCACTGCTCAGTTCTGCCAGACTTCTTATTTTTGGCACAATGGCTGCTGGTTAATTATGTCACCTTGTGAGTTTAAGTTGTGTGTCCCCCATCACTAATGAATTTGGACATCTTTTTATTTGTTTATTGGTCATTCAGCTTTTCTCTTTTGTGAAGTGTATGTGAAATTCCTTCTTTTTTATTGGATAGTCTTTTTCTTAAAAATATGTAAGACTTCTTTATCTATTATGGTTACTAGTCTTTTTCTTGGTTATATGTGTTGCAGAAGTCTTCTCCCAAACTGTGATTGTGTTTTGCTTTCTCTTTGTGATATCTTTTGGTAAACAGAAGTTCTTCATTTTAGAGCAATGGAAAGTAGAAGCGGTTTTCTTCACGGACAACACTTTCTGTGTCTAGTTTAAGAAACCTTCTCTTTCTGCAAGATCATGAAGATAGTCTCCTAAATCGTCTTCTATAAGCTCTTTTGTGCTGTCTTTCACACTGGAATCTAAGGGCCCACATAGAACAGACTGTCTTATGTGTGTATGGTACGAGGGAGCAAATGTAATTCTCCCCCGGGATATCCAATTGTCCCAGCGCCACACATTGAAAAGAGATTCTTTCCCTGTTGCTCCACAGTGCCACCTTTGTCATAAACCAAATGTCTGCCCGTGTTTCTAAACCTCCTATTTCGTTCCCTTGGCTATCGTGCCTGTCCCATGTGATTGCCACTGTCTTGTCATTGTCATAGCTTCATTGTACATGAGGTGGGTCCTTCTCTGTATCCTGCTCTTTAGTTTGCCATGGCTTGTCTTGGACATTTGAACTTTCGTATGAATTTTCAAATCAGCTCATCTGATTTGAAAACGTCTGAAGACTGCTGGGCGTGGTGGCTCACACCTGTAATCCCAGCACTTTGGGAGGTTGAGGCGGGT